GAGAGAGAGTGTGTGTGTACTTGGTTGGTAGTTCTTGCTAGTTTGTTGATATCAGTATCATCAGTTGATTCAGTATCGTCTCTGATCAATGATTCTGATTCGTTGAAATCAATGTGGAAATCCTCTGATATCTTCATTCCTTTAGCAGCATCGAATAATGAAAGCCTCACATAAAATGGCTCCAACTAATAAAGAAATATACATTGTAACTCACAAACATGTACATGTACATGTACATAAATACATGTACATGTACACGTACATTGTAGCTAACAAAATTTTTGGTGAATTGCTAAAACTTTAATGATTAGCTGGTAATTTTTGAGGCAAATTGCTACACAAAATTTATAAAATAGCCAAAATTCTTTTCAAAAAAGCAACAATAATAACACAACAATTATTCACCAGCTGCTTCTTCCCGTGTCTGCTAAGTGTAAGTTTGAGAGAGAGTTCCTTACATATCACAGTGACCTGATGATGCAACACCTCCTTATATGGTAAGGGTAGAGATACTGTATCATCCAATGGAGCTTGATGCTAAGAAAATAAATAAAAAATATATAATCAAATAAATAAGCATTTTATTAGTGTTTTAATTTGGTGCAGTTTTATCTTATAGAGTGTTTGGTAATTTCAGATAGAAAATACAATGTCATTTAAAGTCAATCGAAGGAACTATTATCACAAGATTGCTTGCAATAGAATAGAACTGTCAGGTTCATTAGTGTGGGGGCGTTAAACAAGCACAATGGGATGAGGTTTAAGCATTAAATGAAAAAACAACAAAAATGCATTATATGAGAGAATGTAGTTAGAATACAGGGGGACCCCCCACGCCTAGAATTATTATTGTACATGTACAGACAAGATTAAGTAGGATTCTAGAGAAAACTCATAAAAAGAATAATTGAAAAAAGGGCAAGTAGGATTCTGTACATGTATAATGTACATGTACATGTACATACCAGTAGTTCAGGGTATAGCAGAAATAAGTCGTTCCTGTTCTTATTTCTGTCCTCTCTCTCTTTCTTGTCGTCCCAGTGAAGCAGCTCTGGTCTGTGGAGTGTCTTCTTAGTTGTGTCCCTCAGAGTGTCCTTAGCATAATATGACCTGTACTTAGCAGCTACTGATCCTTTGATACTAGCTGTAGAGAGGGAGGGGGATGGGGAGGAAGTTTAAAGACAGGTTTTATAATAATGAGAGTAGGATACTGTAGTGTGCTATTAATGTTAAATTTTAATGATAAGAATGAGCAATTTGACCTTTTGAACATCCAAGTACAATACATATACATGTAATTAAGAGTAAATTTTAATGAGAGAATAGAAATAAAGATCCAATATGTACGTGTACATGTATACATGTACACGTACATATTGGATGTACATGTATACATGTACATGTACTAATATCCCTTGCTGCCATTACTTGTGTCTTCTTCTTCAATGAGTCCTATTGCTTTACCCAGTGTCAGGAGCCACTCCTCCATTTCCTTTTGTGTTTCTGTTGCTAACGGATACACTGTCTTCTCATCTTCTGTCACAATGTCAAACCCAAATGTCCTCAACTTTGAATTCTACAAAAAAAGAGAATGTGACCCGGTATAATCTTGGTACTCTGTGACAGGTTTCCCACAGGATTTTGGTATAGTGCTTCTTGTCAGAAAATTTTTAAAGTTGCTCCAAAATCACGCCAAAGTCCCTGTACTAAAAAGTTGTGGCAGCCATTTTGAAGTGGGGTGAATCCCCAAAAATGAAAAGTATTGAATTCTCTACTTTTTAAAGCTGATTCTGATCAACATTGAATTTTTTAGAATTTTAAAAGTTACTCAAAACTCGGAGCAAAGTCCCTGTGCTTTAGTACATGGTCATTGGCCAAATTTTGCCAAAAAGAAAAAGAGATAATTCCCTCCCTCCCCTTCCCTCCCTTCCCCTCCCTCCCTCCTCCTTCCCCCTATCACTCACTGGTCTAATATCAGTACATGCTTCAAGGTGTATGGTCCCTTTGGCAGCACTGCTCCTTTCATCTCTGTAATACACTAATCTGTAACCACCTGCTGATGGACCACCTCTTAATTCAAACCATCTCTTCCTGTAATTCTGAGAGAGAGGGAGAGGGGGGGAGAGAGGGAGAGGGGAGATGACAATTACATGTACATTATTGTTCAATGCTTACTTTGATTGATAATCCCATTACACTTTCATTTGGAAAAATACCTTTCAACAGATACCCAGACTTTGATACCAATTTATGAGAATCAATCTACAAAAATAACAATGTTAAAGTACATGTACAGTATGTTTCCACCAAAATAAATAAAACAATACCAACTTTTTGTCATTTCTATTAAATTATGCAAACCGCCATGAATTACACGTGTACATGTACCAAGTGACATAAAAACTACCTGTGCATGTACATGCACATACATTTTCTTCAAAA